CAATTCAGCCATCTAGCACGAGAAACAAAGACTTAATACTACTGACTAAATTAAGGATAAACTTAATACTTTAGACCAACATTTATTTGAAACAACACACTATCAAATTATACACAATAGCGACATGGTAACGAGAAACTCGACAATACTTTATATTACTAGCATCCGTTATAGAAAAAATATTAATAATACTATCAAGTGACCTTTTATGTCAAGATGATTAGTGTTTGTGGCTCGTTTCGTGATGTGTGTTACTTGAGTAGACCAACCGTGACCTTAGGGCGGTTACACATCGATGGCGTGCCGCCTGTCAAGCCCGGTCGTAGCTAAATGCTCGAAAATTGACGTGAGTTAAACAAAAACGTTTGATTTATATTTTGAATTTGATTATACAAATTCATTGCTAGAGGAGTTCTAAGCAAAAGAGGAACTATAGCACGCCTTAAACGATGGCAAATACTTGACCTGGACCAGAGAACTTGATCATAGTCCTCAAGCCTATTACAGTGATACTTGATGGAGTATCACTGAAATAAAAAAGAATAGCAATTAGACCACATTTGATTATGGCTAGGGAGCTGATTGCAAAAAGGAAAATAATCATTGTGTCGTCGATGGTAAGCAATCGGCGTCGCCCATGGACACATAACACCAGAAGTCTTAAAAGTGCCGTCGTTACCGGCCTTTTAGGGATTAGGAATTTGAGGATTGTTGGGGATTCAGGGATTGGAGAGTGATGGGGACGGTAATTAGGTCTCCGGTCACCTCACTGAACACCGTCAAGTGTTGTTTCACGTCGGTTTTCTGTTCGGTCGTGGTATCACTACGGTCGAACCGGCCCATTCGTGCCGAAGCATGGCTAAAACACAAGTAAGGTATATCGCATGCAATCACTCTTAACACCTAATCTTAGGCCATTTTTTATAACCTATTTATCTTTTGAATTGAATTTTGACATAATCTTCATACAAACTTCTATCTCAGTAAGCGAATCTACAGATAGATAGGTTATAGAAAATGGCCGTTAAAGTAAAGAAACAAAATCATTATCCCCATATCGACAAGAGCAGAAGAGTATTGTTGTCTAAACATAGCTTAAAGGTGACTTCTAAACAAAAGAGCAAGTTGATTGAACTGCTTTCAACCTGCCCTTGTATTGTTTGTTCCAAAGATTGTACCGTGAATAACAAGGCACATTATTTTCTTTATTTTTTCAATGTCTTCATCTAGATATTTTTAATTAGTAAAAATGTTCTGATTAACTCTCCCTCTTTTGTTTTCTTGGAAATTAAATCTAATTAATTCAGTTTATTTTTTCAATATTAGCTCGACCTTTTCGTCGTGGTGGCCCGAAGATTTAAGGGACGGATTCGAAACCTACTAATGGCGAGTATGAATCAAAGTAACTTTTTCCTAGTTATATGTACTTTCTAAGATTGTTTAGACACCACTGACAAACGGTGAAGAAAAACATCGCGAGGAAACCTGAGCTTATAATTTCTAAGATACAAATTGATAGATTTTTTGTCTGACTGACTTATAGGCGATTGATGTTAATGTTTCTGGACATTTTAATATATTATATTACCAGAACTTAAAATTAAAATTAATTTAAATAATATCTATATATATAAAAGAAAGTCGTGTTAGTTACACCACTTATAACTCAAGAACGGCAGAATAGATTTGGCTGAAAATAGGTAGGGAGGTAGCTTAGAGCCAGGAGACGGACATAGGATACTTTTTAACCAATACTTATTTTTTACTTTTTACCGAAAATCACGAACGGGGATGGGAAAAAATGGGATTACGCGTACGAAGTCGCGGGCAGAAGCTAGTTTTAAATAATTAAAAGTAACATTGATTCTCTGTGAAGACATCCTAATAAACAAACGTTTGGAGTTTCCTCGTAAAATAGAAATGAAATTCGGACCTTGGTACCAAAAACTGAATGAGGTGATAATTGAGGTCGAATTGAGTATGTAGGTCACTATCCATGACAATCATAATAATACGAAAAATGGAAAACCATATTATGTCCTCTGCGATAGAAATGTTAACAGTTTATATATTTTTATGTACGCTAAAAATACCTAGGTACATTTTGATTTATTCAACTGCAAACAAACTGCCTCATTGGTCGAGTGATCGCGTGTACGATGTCGAAGAAATAGATAATTTTCAATAATTTTAGAATAATCATATAGTGTGAATTCATTAATAGTCCTCGAAGTAAGGCATCTCGCTATGCCTCTGAAGTTGCAAGAATAAAAAATGGGTGTTACGTTCAATGAGTGCTTTTCACCTACCATTTCGAGTAGTAAACGGTGTATCGATAATATTTAATGTGTATTTTCAAAAGTACCTTGCTGGTCCAATCGAAATAAATGATTTTAAATTTGGCGTTGGCTTTACATTCACTTTGATTTTGACTTAGATTTTGACTTTGACTTTGATTTTGACTTTGATGTTGACTTTGACTTTAACGTTAACATTGACTTTGACTTTATATTATTTTCGATTTAATACCTAGTAGTTCAACGTCTGTTAAGTAGTAGATACTTAGGATATGGTAATATGAAGCTAAAAAGTTGGCCAGTACCTTTATTTCTAAAATGTTATTCGTACCTCCACTGACGTCCTTATAATTTTTGGAAAGTAAATTTTATACCTTTGTCTTTTGAATCAATGACATGGCTTACAATATTTATTTTTAATTCCACTCGAACGCGGGTGAAACCGCTGGCAGAAACTAGCTAGAAAAATAAGAATAAAGAAGTTAATCTAATAAGAAATTCCCGTAACCATACCCTAATCAAGATATCCTCAAGCTTTTTAACCCCATGATAAAAGTTAGCACAATGGCCTTTATAATTACTTCACACTCTTAAAAAAAAGATAGTACTGCGATATCACATAGTTAGGTATATGACTGCCTCGTTGACCGAGTGGTCGCAAGTGCGACTGCCGGGCAAGGGGTCTCGGGTTCGATTCTCGGGTCGGGCAAACTATTACTGGGTTTTTAAAAACATTCTCAGTGATAGCACGGAGTCTGGAAATGTGCCCGGTATATGGCAATAGGCTCACCCCCTATTACATGGGACTCATAACGTAAATAGTGAAAAGTGGGTGTTACATTGTACAGTGGCATAATGTGCACCTCTGCCTACCCCTTCGGGGATAAAAGGCGTGATGTTATGTTATGTATATGTTAATACACGTGTTGTTTCAACACGCATGTGTATGGAAACATTTCGTAACAATCATGAGATAGGATCGCACGGTGGCGGAACAAAATGTAGCGTTTCAGTTTAGATACACATCGCATCGATGACGATTTAGAACAACCACTAAAAACTAGAACTTGGTATATTTTTACCGGTTTACTCACGTATATACCGAGAAAAGCTTTTCTAGTTTTGTGTCACAGAAGGAGCGCCTCATGAGCAACTTACGTAGATTGCGCTGACACGATCACCGTGGGGGTACCACAGCAGGTCTGTTATAGAGGACCCGGTGCGCCATAGGTGATGATGGTGGTCACCGAGGTAGGAAGCACACTCCCTAGTATTTTTCCCAAAAAATCTAGGCGTCTTTTGAAGGTTTGACCCTGTAATCAAAACAATAACGTAGGTAAAATATCACAATCTGATATAATTACTATTTAATGGTACATTTATCAATTAATTGAAAATTCCTGGATTTATTTCAATTATTTATCTCCTGGTAGTCAGAAAAATTGTTACAAGACTTCAATCAATTCAGAACCACTTCAATCAAGTCCTTCGTGTCCTTCATGTCCTTCACTGTTATTCTGTGAATTAAGAACAAAAACGAACTGGAACTGTTAGATAGGGCTGGTTTTTATCATCAACAGCCCATAGGTTCCCACTGCAGATCGTATGCCTCTTCTGACATAAGGAGCGTTTGAGCGTGAATTACCAGTACCACGATTGTTCAAGGTGGATTGGCAATTTCAAACTTAAGTCCGGGTTTCCCCACGATGTATTTTCTTCACCATTTGTCAATGGTATTTCAATAATCTTAGAAATGACATATAACACGAATAAAGTCATATTGTTATTTGCTCTTTAGGTATTGAACCCGTACTCTCATGCATCAAATGCTTAAACGGCTTAAACCTCAGGGCCACCACAAGGTAGTACATATATTTTACTACTGAATTTTTCATTAAAACTTTAATAGTAATTTCGTTAATCAAACCAAAAATATTACGTCACACGTTAAAACGTAGGTACGTCATAAAAGAACTCGAAAATACTCGTCCCTACAGACAACAGGTGGTACATTAATTTCATCAAGTCTGCCTTTCCAAGAATACTTACAAACGATCTTTATAGTTTCTTTGTCTTTGAAGCGCTTCATCTACTTTTTATCAAGATTCGATTGAACTTCTCATCTGTGAAAATGGACGGACTAGACTTAAATCAATATGATCGCCGACCTACCTTTTGAGTTTTGCATTTTTTTTTGTTCCATCAAACGCTTGAACTACGTCATCGAAATTAAATTGAGGTCCTTTTATAGGTTTCGTCTTTGGCTTTTGTACCATTTTGTTTTAAGATCCTGATTGAAAATGATTTGAAGTATTTGTTCCAACAGTTCTATTTTATTTTTATCACACTTGTCTGCATAAATGACAATTATTAGTTTCGTCTAAGTCCGAGACCGAAGTGCAAGTGGATTTTCTGCTTGTAAACATCCCACACTGTATCACGAACGCAGAAAATTGCTAAATAAAAAAGATTGTATGTACCACTACACCATAATAAGGTAATTTTTTCAATTAGCAATGATAATGAGAGTGATAATTTCAGGGATATCTTTTTATTATGTCATTCGAGTTAACTAACATTAGGTACAGAAATTAAAAGGAAAATCGGAGAGTAATCTCAATTTGCCATTTCATTACCATCATAAAAGTACAAATTATGGTCGTAAAAATAAATGCTATAACGCACACAGTTCGTAGTCGACATTCGTATCAATAAGTACCTGTATGGCAATATCACATTTTTACACAATAGCCGGCCATAACAATCCAGTGAAATGATTAGTTGTGAGTGAAATTTTATACAAAATACCATCAGCGTCATTTTTTTCTTCATCGTCTATATTTTTATCTATTTCTAACACTTTAATTTTTTTGGCTATATTGGTTTGTGCTGTGTTTTAAGATTTGGTTTGTGTGTCATATTTTGAGTTAGATTAACTTTTATGTTTTATCTTCTGATACATTTTGCTGGCGATGATTGGTAAGCCAAATGGTTGACTTTTTATTCGCTCTTAATATATGGTATTAATGATATCTAGGTACTTGACTGTTTTAATGGTACTGTGTGGACCAAAACCAAATATAATTGCTTTCAATTATTTAAAGAAGTTGTTATAAATAAATCAAATTAGACAATATTACTATTTCGTGTACTTTTGTTAGATTAACTCTTATTAGTTTATCAGCGAAATTAAATAAGAAGAAAAGTGCTGTCTTCAAATTTTATTAGATGCACAATAGGGTAGATGCCTAATTTTTATTTTAATGTCCGCCTGGTAGATTGTTTTAAATCATCACGTATTTTTTATTTTCTTACAGAAACGAATTCTTTCGACGATATATTGATTTCAAATGTCGCGTGACGTCACTTCTATGTACATTTTATACGTAGAAATCACGTTTTAGCCCCCACTCCCTAAACTTTGATTCGTTTTATTTAAGTATATAATACGCGTCTAATATTTTTTAATTACCTAACTTACAGACTAATTAGATTTTTAATTTTCATACCCTGTCATCATCCCAATTTCCAAGTAATACATAATTTTATTGGACTGCGTGCCTATCGCGCTGGCTGGCTGACCGACTGTTTTATAATGTGTTCGACAATTCTTATAACACAAAAACTTAAACAGACGTTATCTACGGCGAGAAATAACTCATGTGATTTAAAATTGTAGTTTATGTAGTCCAGTTATTAATAGTTAAAATCATTTATTTCAATTAGACCAGGAAGGCACTTTTTAACGTAAACAACTGTGTAGTTGCTCATTCCAAGGTGTAGATTCCTATGGAGAAGAACGAGCAAGAAGCTCCATAAACCATCCTCCTCCATAAATCTGCAGCTAATATAATGTATGTAGGATATTATATACGATTCCATTCTGTCTTTCCAGTGAAACATCTGGAGTTGATTTACATCACCGAGTGTCTCCTGTGTGTGAGCCTATATGCAGCGAGTGTACCACACACGGTGCCTGCTAAATTCACCTTGAGCAACTTCTTCGATTCCACCCTGTCAATGATTCATCCTCTTGTTAGTGCTGGTTCTGATCGATGTGAGTATTTTCATGTTTAAATGACTGCTTAATATTGTAGAAGATTTTTGAATCTGTTTTTCTTTTGGAAGGAAAATCATCAGCCTCTTGCTGCTTAAAAACCACCCCGTTCCTACTCCTGCATATCGAGCCGGAGCCCCGATAACCCGTTAAGTCCTCCGCGGCTCCGTATCGTCATCAGCCCTATTGGGCCCCATCTGTGGTTTTGAATCTGTAGTTATGTTATTAATGTGTCGCGAGTGGTCGCAAGTGTGACTGCCGGGCAAGGGTTCTCGGGTTCGATTCCCGGGTCGGGCAAAGTATTACTAGTTATTTTTTAATTCTCAATAGTATCACGGAGTCTGGAATTGCAAGGCTCACCCCCTATTACATGGGACTCATAACATAAATAGTAAAAAGTAACCATTATATAATGGCTTAATCGACACCTCTGCCTACCCCTTTGCCGATAAAAGGCGTGATGTTATGTTATGTTAAGACAAATGCGGTGGCAAAGGGCGTGTCTTTTTATTGCGTCCTACAATATTGTTGTTCAACTAATTTTGCATATGATGTGTTTCCTAATTTATATTATTTTTGTACAAGGATCGGACCCACGACACGTTGTCCAGTGCCTGATTATGTTTTCTGAAACATGGTATATTGCCTAGAGTTTCCAGTCTTGGTATCGGAAATGATAATATTGTGATTTGATTCCTAAAAGAGGTATTTTTGTGGTAATTCAAAATTACATTGGTCGTATTTATTTGTAGTAAATCAGATACACTATTGTAACATGTTAAATAAATGGTAGTATTAAAATGTTTGATGTTTTATGACAGAACTGATTTTATCATAATTACACTACATTGGGTATAATATATGATCATTTTTATTATATGATAACTATAGACTAGTTTTTTTGTCAAAGTATGAGCAGATTTACTGCCTCGTTGGCCGACTGATCGCAAAAGCGACTGGCCGGGTAAGGGGTTCTTGGTCGATTCCCAGGTCGGGCAAAACATTGCTGAGTATTTTCTTAAATTCTCAGTAGTAACACGGAGTCTGGAATTGGGCCGAGTATGTGGCAATAGGCGCACACCTAATACATGGAACATATGACATAAAAAGTGGGTGTTACGTTGTACAGTGGCATTAAGTGCCGTAATGTGCACCTCTGCCTACCCCTTTGGGGATAAAATGCATGATGATAAGTATAAGAGCTATAGTATAACTAGGGTTTAAAACAATTTAAAATGTTTCAAAACCAGTTCATTATGACATACAAATACAAATTGTATTTAAACTCCAACAGGAGAAATACGTTCCTACATTTTGTTAAAATGGCCTTGGAAACAGATAGAAGAAAGTTTTGATGGTTCCCGTCGAAGTTAAATTCGATTGAAGATGAACTTGACCAACCGGAAAAGTCGTTAATGTTTTTCTTTAATTCCCAAATCGTTTTTATAATCGAATCTGAAAGTTTGATTATTAGGACGTTGTGAGAGTGAATTGAGAGGACCAGACGATCAGGCGTACAGAAGTGTAAACTTGGTTTGCAAAAAACGACTTTAGTACATATAAAATAAAGATGTTCTGAAATCATTACCGTAGACGTATTGGCGATTGTTGGAGCAAATATTAGCTGGTCTGGTACCCTTAGGACTAAAGTTTTCAAGTTATCGTTACGAACTAGACATAACACTGCTAAAGAAGTTTTTAATGCTTTGTTACAATTGTACAAAATAAATGGTAAACTCTGAAGCCATTGTCTCCCCGAGGACTTATAAAAGAATTTCATTGTTTGAAAGGTAAAATAACGGACAATTGGAGAATGAATTAACGTGCAAATATTTATATATGAACCTAAGATTAGACAAACATTGTTCCATAGTGTATGAATTATAATTAACTGAGACAGAATAAAAAGTTTGATGAATGATTTATTTTTTAATATTTGATGGGCCGACGTTTGATCTCTATCTCGCTTCGTGTGGTAAGCAATGATGTGATCTACGATGGAGCACGTCGTCCCATAAGCAACCTATTCACTCGGGCCTTGAAGACGATTCAGGAAATACAGACTCTGGCAAAGAATTCCACTCTTTAACAGACTATCCCATACTTGTTCCAGGTGAATCCCTCAAAAGCTTTTTGGGCATAACATACGAACAGATGCAGGTTAAGAACAAAACGAATTGGTACGACGTGCTGAACATAGACCTGGTTACTAAGAATGGTAACATCAAGTTTAATCTGACAGCAACAAAGAGAATGAATAGACTGATGGCTCGAGCTCAAACCATAATCATATTAATCCATGGCTTCATGGAGAGTTCCAATGGCTGGATGGTGAACGCCATAGCACCAGAGCTTCTGAAGAAGTCCATGTATAAAGTGTTTGCTCTAGATGGAAGGAAGATCATCAATCTAGAATACTTCAGTTCTTCTACAAATGCAAGGTTCATGGGAGAGATGCTTGGCAGTTTCTTGGGTGACGTCATTAGAAGTGAGTTAGAATAAAATTACATTCAAGAAGTAGGTATCAAACCTATTTGACAGTCTTCTATAGGGTAGTAGACGGTAGTGGACTAGTCCCTCAGTTAAAAATATAAGAATCGTCTTTTTTATTTTGTCGTATAACAAAACGGATTTGGCGTATAAAAAAATTAAGTAACACGGAGTTAAGTTTAGGACTGGGAGATCGTTATGTCACGCTACCCTATAAAATGTAGTAAATCGTGACATCACACGATATTTCAAATCAATATATCGTCGAAAATATTTAATTTTGTAAGAAAAGAAAAAAAACATGTCCAATGTTCTAAAACAATCTACTACACGGACATTAAAATAAAATTTAGGATACTATACTATTCCTAGAACGATTGATACCAAAATTGTTTAGTAAGTCTGATTTTCGTCTCGAAAATAATTTACCAATTAGTAAAATCTTTTAATTATTACGTTACAGATGGCGAAGACCCTTCTAAGATCTACATTATAGGTCATAGCCTGGGATCCCATATCGCAGGGATAGCAGGAAAGAAGGTCTATGAAGTAACTGGCAAGCGTATTGGTCGGATCACAGCACTAGATCCTGCTGGACCATGCTTCAGTAACATTAGTGACACTGGAAGACTGGCCAGAACTGACGCAGAATACGTTGATGTAATACATAGCAATGCAGGCATACTGGGTTTCAAAGCGCCTGTAGGTAAACAATGAACTTTTTCAATATTATTAGATAATAGTTTGAAATGCCTCGTTGATCGAGTGGTCGCAAGTGCGACTGCTAGGCAAGGGGTCTTGGATTCGACTCTGGGCTCGGGCGGAGTATTATTGGGTTTAATAAAAAAAAATATCTATAGTAGCACCGAGTCTGGAATTGTGCCCGGTATATGGCTATAGGCTCACCCCCTACTACATGGGACTCATAACAGATAAATAGTGAAAGTGGGTGTTACATTGTACAGTGGCATTAAGTGCTGTAATATGCACCTTTACCTACCTCTTCGGGGATAAAAAGGCGTGATGTTATATTTTATGTTTTAAGTGCAGCATATTTGAATGTTTAACTGATTTCAAAAAAGGAGGTTTTGTCCTGTATGTATATATGTATGTTGGTATGTTTGTGCGAGTTTATCTAGCGATTGGTTTAACTGATTTTGATGCGGTTTTAATAAAAAAGTGTTATTACGCTTAGGAGAAGGATTTAATATTATATTAATGAACGGTCTTCAACGAAAGAGGTTGAAGTCGGTTTTTTAAAATTTGTTTATAAAAGAATTATTCTTTTACTTTTTTGACTTTGACTTTTGAAATTACCATCAAAATTATTTTGTATTATTTTTTGTTTTTAATAAACACAAAACGATTATTAAAACACAGTAAGGGATGATTACTCCAACGCCAAATAAATTTTAACTAAGGAATAATTTTGAATATTCGACAATTCTCCCATACTAAATACTGTCAAATGTCAATTTATAATAGTCAAAATCAGTTAATTCTTAACTCTACAGTTACAGAAAAATCGACCCTAAGTTGAGTCTATTGGCGATACTTTAATGCTGTTTTTTGCAAACAAATATTATTCACATTTTATAATATTCACATTTTATAGTATGAAACTTAGATAGTATAAGCACAGTATACGATTGAATACTGTTAATTTTGATAATCAAGCGATCTGTAGCACATTTACAAAAACCAACCTTACGGCAGCAGCCTAAGTATCTTTTTTCAAAAGCTCAACAATAGAGAGATACCATTGAAGAAGGTATTAATATGCAGCGTTTGTTAATACCTTCTTTTGTTCTGAAGAAGTATTAGTGATGTGCATACTTTTCTCAAGTAGATACTTATGGTACTTACGCTGATGGCCATTTGTCTCTGAGGAAGGAATTATTATGGTGTAAGCTACTTTCCTACTGTTTTTGCGAAGATGTAGATTTTTGTCTGAGAATTTCTTGGTTTTACATTTTTCTGTTGGAGATTGCTTCATTTTTTTTTTGTAGATACTACGTTGGTTTAAACTTAATTAGTGAAATTTTATGTTGAATTCGAAAGTTGAATTGTTCGTCTCAACTGACCGTTCGATGAATTTTATTACTGAGACATATTGGAAAACTTTAATCTACATTGACGCGTGAAATCGTGAACGAAAATTAGTTTAAGTTTTTTATTTTCTAGCAGTCCACACTCTAATATGATTTGATATTAAAAAGTAAAACCATAATTTCAATTTTACAGGTCATAAAGACTTTTACCCAAATGGAGGGATTATCCAGCCTGGATGCTATCTTTCTATATGTGACCACAGCAGAGCTTGGGAGCTATTTACAGAATCTATTGCTTCACCTAAACACTTTCCAGGTAAACGAAATTCACAAAATGAAGTTTTTTTAGGTATTAACTTGGCCTTTGCAACTCCATAGCTTAACCTAGGACTGTCCAAAGTATATACCCTCGCGGGTTGATTAAATTTCTTACAAGAGCTGGAGGGCCAGAATAATATTTTCAGTTTGACGTTTAACATTGTATTCTCATTCACAGACGAAACTTGTACCTGTACAAATAATACACTGAATTTTATTATTGTTGTTGTAAATAAGATTATATTGAGATTAAAATGTGTGTCGCTGGCCACATGAAAACAAGCCGGGCCTTTGTTTGGACAGCCCTGGCTTAACCAGTAAGAGTATGACTGTCTCTCTCGCCTCACCCATGGTGGGAGAAGTCATTGGATGCGTTTCCTCATTTTCACAAATACTGTGTCTAATTTAACTACCAAAAACCTACCAGTTGATTTTTATTGAAAGTTTGTCTTTTTTCGAAGCAAATCGGTGTTTATTATAGCTTAAATATATTGTTCACATTTCTATGTTTGTAATTATAAAGATAAGTTATTAATTATTATAAATAGGGAGGTAATTCCCGCTCGAATACAAATCCCGCTCGAATTTTGTATATGTAACATCTAATAATAAACACATTATAAGCTCGGGGATTGGCCAGTAAGTATGTGGCTGACATGAGCATTTACCTAGTAATGACTATTGCCATATTGCCATATGCCATTAGATTCACCTGTAAAATACCCTTAATAATTGCACATCAACTAGCGCGGAACCGCGGCGGTTTTTAACCGTCTGATTTTGGAATAAAAAAAGTAGTGGCCACACTTGCGGTTATATCCTACCCTTGATTTTAGTATAACGCTATGCGACTAAACACCAATGCGGTTCGGCTCTAGTGTGGCCGGGGCCTAAAACTGTATTTGTTTACAGCACGTAAATGTGAAAATTGGACAATGTTCGGAGAAGGCCGCTGTTCTAAGAACGAGATATCTTACATGGGCTTGGAGTCTGATGATGGCAGTCCTGGGGTATACTTCCTCACCACGAAAGACTCTTTGCCCTTTGGTATGGGCTCCGCAGGCAGTGGGTAGTGTGAAAACTGGAATAAACTTTTTAATACAAATAATGGTTTTTGTTCTCCTGTGGGTTGGTATCAAGAACTTCATTGTTGAAAGCGATTTTTTTATAGCATAAGCCGGTAAACGAGCAGACGGAACACGATGGTAAGCAATCGGCGCCGCCCGTAAACACTTGAAAGAACAAGGCGTTAGGTACAAGTGCGTTACCAGCCTATTGGGAATTGGGAATTTGAGCATTGTGGAGGATTCGGGGATTGGGGAGACTGGGGAGGGGAGATAACTGGGCCTCCAGTAACCTCACTCACACGACGAAACGCGACGATATTTTTCTTTTACACTTTCTTTGATATGATATCCAAAAAGACAGTATTTACAGTTGTGTGGAGGAAGCATGATATGGTTACAGCCATAATTGAAGAATAAGAAAAGCACATACCAATTTTCTAAGGAAAACAAGGAAAAATGACGTCATCACATATTAATAGAGACACAAGAGCGATTCATTAAGGAAATAATATATGTCTAAAGAATATCAGACGGTTGATATCACCTTTAGATGACAAGGAATGACATGCCAAGGACAGACTGCGATTTTGAACTCTAGACTTAAGCTACTTAAGGACTTATTTAAATTGCATTACGTGAAAATAAAACGGTTTTCGCTAAAGATTACATACATACAAAGAGAGCTTTAAGGTATAATCTTAAGTAGAAAGATGAGATTAATCTTACCGATTGGAATTTTAATGCTTACATTCATTTTTTTCGTGTTGTTCGTAATCTTGCTTTTGTAGTAATATTTTGTAGCAGTCTTAAGTGGCACTTTAGAATAATCATTCTAAAGCCAACATTTTTGTTAGGCTTAGCTAAAATTATATTTGATTATACTTGTCATTATAATTGGCTAGTTTCCAGACTATCAAAATTAAAAATCGAATTAGTCCGTCGGTTAGATAATGAAAAAATATTAGACACGTATTTTTTTATTTTCTCGTATTAAGTTGCAATACTTAGATAAAATGGCGCCATAACGTACTACATAATGTGACACGCTGTGACGTCACGTATTTAATTTTGTGACATAATAAAAAATACGTGTCCAAAGTTTTAAATCAATGTACCAGACGGACATTATAATAAAATTTAGGAAACTACCCTATTACTTATGCCAGCGGTTCCGCCCGCATAAGAATGGGATAAAAAGGAGCCTATGTGTTATTTTAGAGTCTAGACCATAATTTACGCCAGCTCCTCATCCTGATCCCTTAAGTGTTGTAACAATCATTCACACAAACTCACTAACAAACTTTCACATTCATAATATTCTTCTTCTTCATATAGTGCCACTTCATTCCTTATGGTTGGCCGTCAACTTTTTGACTTGGTTCTTGTTCAGGCGGAAAAGTCATAATATTAGTTCGGGAAAAATTATCTTTAACATTTAAACATATACAATAAAAAAAATCTTCACAGCTGCATTGATCCACCCAAAAGATATCAATACCGTTAACAAGTAACTGCCATCGCAATGAAATAAATAAATTCTAAGAGAGTTACTGCTTCAGGGACATAAGGCTTTCCCTACTGTATATTGGACTTCCTATAAATGTAGTTCAGGAAGGGTCAGACGATATTTCTTTCGTTCTATAGGTATACCCAGGGGAAGGAGAGAAAAGGTGAAACATTAACACGTAAAAAGTGAGTATGGCTTAGGGATAGGGTTGATGACAAGATAAAATAAAATCGTAATCCTTAAGAAATGTGGCTTTCTGAAACAAAAATAGCAATGATAATAAAAACAAAATATCACGCCTTTTATCCCCGATGGGATAGGCAGAGGTACACATGACGGCACTTAATGCCACTGTACAATGTAACACTCACTATTCACAATGTGTAAATTGATAGTGGTCTTAGGTCTAGATGGCTACAATGTACAACAGATTATTAACTAAACGAACTATTATATCTGGAACATACATAACATTATTTATTCCCAAAGGGCTAGGCAGAGGTGCACATAACGTCACTTAATGCCATCGTACAATCATGTAACACCGACTTTTCACTATTTATGTTATAGTCCTATGTAATAAGCCTATTGCCATATACCGGGCACATTTCCAGACTTCGTGTTACTATTGAGATTTTAAAAAAACTAAAGCAGTGGGTTTTAGCAGTAGCAGTTCTCCAAGTAAAGTATATAATCTAATCTGAATATTAAAACTACACAAAGTTTATAATAGGTCCATCAGGATCTGAGACTTTAAAACTGAAATTGACAAATTAATGTTTTAGTTCATTTACAAATTCTAGGGTCTAACGACTGCCTTGTTGTAGTACGATGGAAAAAGGTAAGGATGTTTGAACATAGTGTGACCGTAGACATAATAAACTGCTATAGAGATATAACTATTGGTGTAAATAGGGCGGAATATCATAACACATAACACAACATAACATCACGCCTTTTATCCCCGAAGGGGTAGGTAGAGGTGCATATAGAAGTAATACCCACTTTTTACTATTAATGTTATCAGTCCCATGTAGTAGGGGGTGAGCCTTTTGCCATATACCGGGCACAATTCCAGACTCCGTGCTACTACTGATAATTGATAAAAAACCTAGTAGTACTTTGCCCGACCTAGAATTCGAACCCGAGAGCCCTTGCCCGGTAGTCGCACTTGCGGCCAACGAGGCAGACTATAGAGAAAGAGATATAACTGTTGCTGCATATAAGACGGAGTATCTATAAAACATTAAAATAAACAATGTTGTTAGAGTTTGAACCCTGGGAAGTCTTAAAACTGCGACCAGACACCAAGGAATGGGCATTAGACTTTCATAAAAAGGTCGATGTCCTAACGGCGATTTACAAGCCGCCAGCTAAGTGTGGGGATAATAGCAACTGCTCCTCCTCTAAAAGGGAATGCCTTTGTCCAGCAGTAGACATCTCCTGGCCATTGGTGAAGATGATGATAATGATTTTTTTATAGTTTAGTTAGTAAAATACATTTTCCGTTATTTTATTTTTTGATCTTCTGGTCTACATTTACTTACGTCAATCATAAGTTCAACATTTAATTTTGTTTCACTGAATACACGAATCGCTTCTACTTGAGCTAAATAACTATACGTGCATTGTATAGATTTTTAAAATATTCATCTCTATAAATGAATGTTCGAGATGTTTCCACCATCTTGTCCGTACTGAAATAGAAACGGTTTCTTTAGACAATACATTGTATTGAAATCTCTTGGGTTCATTGTTTCGGACTGTCCTGTTTGTTATTGCGTACCTGCAGGTGGCAGTTTCATTTAATTGAAAACTTCAGTATTGTCATAGATTAAGTGAAGTAGAAGTGCCGATTAGGCAACTGGAAAATGCGTTTAGTAGCTTATTGTTGAAGTTAATTAAAAACTCCTTAAAACCAAAGTATCTTAAGTTATAGACACTTGACGTTTATTTGTTGACTAATTTCCAATCATGTATGAACGAACGCGCGAAAAACAATACCCTTCCTTCAGTCAGGTAAAAAAGTAAATCAAGTAAATGTAGCCAAAGGATTTGCCTGACTTTAGATATAAAAGCTGATAGATATAAATCCTGTTCAGTGAGTTTAGTTCTGCTACAATATTCAATCCCAGTGGAATTCTAGACAATAATAACTTGTTAAGTTTCTTGAACACTGCCTGGTTTCAATGTTTAATCTCTTTCTGGAACTGTCTGTGGCATTGTTAGACTTGCGATGAATCTTCTTGCAGGGCCAACTTGTTTGATACTAAATTAATCACTGGCTACCATGTCGCTGGCGATGACAAAATAGTTGAAAAAGTAATAATATAGGTATTTTATTTTACCTACGACCGAATTCATAGTAGTCTTACCTCTATTATGTCTATTGTCTCTTATCTACTATATAAGATCATCGAGAAAGTTTCCCAAAAAATATATAATATCCGGAGTTCCTCAGGGCTCATATTTAGGGCCATTACTTTTAACTTATTTGTTTTCGTCACTCGCTAGATTTCCTAACTTTATTTTCTTTTAGTGTTGTATAAAATTTTTCGCTTTTTTATGCAAATATACACACTCATATACATAAATATAACGTTCAAACTCTAACTAATCCGCTCATCTGGTATTACAATGAATACGAAAAACTGACTAATGGCTTGTTAAAAACCTGATCCTCCTTCCGTGGGATTGCACAACCGTGCACGTGAAAAACCCGACCGAAAAAATAAAATCAAATCCAGTAGAAAAGGCAAAACCTACCAAAACGAATTTACGTAATCCTAAAATCCAGCTTAAACTGGATTTATTAACTTTATTATCTGTTCTATATCATCAGCCTTTGTCAACATCGAAACGGGATTCAAAAATTGGAAAAGTCCAGTGCAAACCTGTTTAATCCGGAATAATCCAATTAGGAGGTAAAATGGGTATGTTGCGAGTCGCGTCACTAGTTGGTGTTCGGTATTTAGTTTTGTCCTATCCGAGCCTTTAGAGAAGCACCGTATTTGATTCATGAATAAACGTGAATTCAGGTTAGTTAGAAAAACGTGACCGTGTTACTGATGTCTTCATTTGTCCTTGTGGCATATTTTGCTACGTAGGGTAAAGTAGGGTTAAAAGTATGGCGACAATTAAATTTCCGATTATTTTACGATGAATTGAAAGACATTAACAACTTTTGTGAAGCGACAGACGTATATTTAAGAATGGTAACAATTGGCGTTTTATAGTTTCTGCCTGCCAAATTTCGAATCAGTATCCTCAAGCATGAGAGGCTTTGTTTTAAACCTCTGAGCCACCACGACTTATGTTACATAATAGGAATGATGACAGGGTATGAAAATTAAAAATATAATTAGTCCGTAAGAATATTAGACACGTATTTTTTTATTTTGTCATATAATAAAACAATACTTAGATAAACTGAACCAAAGTTTAGGAGTGGGGGCTAAAACGTCATTTCTACGTTTAAAAAGTACATAGAAGTGACGTCATGCGACATTTCAAATCAATATTCGTCGAAAGTATTCGTTTCTGTAAGAAAATAAAAAATAATCTAATGATTTAAAATAATCTACCAGACGGACATTAAAATAAAAATTAGGCATCTACCCTATTGACTGTTAGGTTAATTAACTATACTTGGTGAGTGAATTTGGGTGAAAGCGTTTCTCCCTATCAATGACATTCAGTTCACACAAAGGGTAATCGACGTTGGAATCCAAGGCTCTCGAACATGGTCACACTAAGAATGTCCAATACGGTTTAAGTAACAACTGCCAATTGGCTCTCTTTGATGAATATTCCAGCAGTAAACAGAGCTTTGAAATGGTATTCAAGATGTTAGGTTCAAAGCAGTAGATGGTTAATCTTTGAGAATACACAATTTTTACAATGTCTTCACGTAGATTTAATTTGATTGTAGTCTTAGGTCGGAATCACAGCATGGTATAACAGATTAATAACTAAACGAAGTATTATACTTGGAACATAAGTAAAATTATTCCCAAAAGGGTAGGCAGAGGTGCACATAACAGCACGTAATGTCACCGCACAATATAACACCGACTTTTCACTATTTATGTTATGAGTCCACATTTCGAGACTCCATGCTACTAGTGAGATTAATTTTTAGAACCCGTAATACTTTGCCCGACCCGGGAATTGGACTCGAGACACCTTCCCTGGCAATCGCGACCACTCGGCCAACGAGGCAATTGAGAGCAGTTTTTTCTGTAAAACACTAATTTACACATATGAAAATGTTAAAGTAAAAAAATCAGATGAGATCAACTTTTTCTTGAACAAGACATGCTTTGTGTAATCTATATAAAAAAAAAAATAAACATTTATTCTGCTGAACACTACTCTTTTCTTTTTACACAATAAAACCTATTGTCTTATAATTTAATTAATTAATTACATAAAACCTAAATTACAATATACTGTTTCATTTCACAGCTCTTTTCAAAGACCCACATAGTAAAAAGACGAAATATTTTGAAGAAAAAATAAAACAAGTGCCCGTAGTGACTAATTAGAGTAATTAGGCTATTTCTTTAAGACGAAACGTAATTTTCTTTTTAATATTACAGTGAAGAGCTTGTTCCTTTTTTTTCTTTTCTTTACAATATTTTTTAGGTAACAACGCTTGCAACCGAATTTTTTCTTTGTCAAAAATCTATTGAAGAGTCTGTTTTTTCTGAACCGAATTCTAGTAATCGTCATGTTAAAACCGTATTTTCATTTATTTACATGTGGCTAATTTCTTTTGAAATAAGCCTTTTTGAATAGGAAGTGCTTAGGTGTGCCTATTCAGAATCTACACATCTAAAGAGTTTCTAATCTGTAACAGTGGTGCCTTGCCAGTTTTTATACTTATATTTATTTTCAATTATTACATTTACCACATGCATACAACTCGCTTGCCATTTTTAAGGGGTGAAAATCATCGAATGTCTCCTCCCGCCTTAGGTGGGGTGAGACAGATACTTATAGACTAAAAACTACCCGTTTCAAGTGCTGCTCTTCGAACCAGCAACCCGTGAAGTCTTCTGCGGTTGCATATCGGGAATTAGCTCTACTGGGCTGGGAGAAGGAGGATTGTGGTGGGAGGAGATTGTGATAAACATTCTTACGTAGAATAGGCCGGCAGTCCAACAGTGATAATACCAGACAACAGGGATGTTGAAAATAAACGATTATACCTACAATCGCAAATTAATAAAACCTAAATATACAACCTTTTTGATTTGACATTTGACATTTCTCTTACACCATGCAGTCTGTGGTTGAAAAGTCAAAACATCACGACAAAATTAAATTAGATCAGGTAATAAATGTAAATTGAATGGAAAATTTTATAAAAATTAACGTTGATAATGTCGGCGTTGGACGACCTGCCCGATGTGGTGTCTTTCTTCGGAGTCGACTTGAAGACCGGCGCCTTGATAGTCGCTGCAATAGGGGTGGTAAGTTTCAAACCTACAACTTTTTAGATGCATGACCTTGAACGTATCGAAATACGATGTGTTTAGTAAGAGCAAAACGCGCAGAGAGTACTCAACATGTTTCTAAGTTCTCATTTCACTCCCATCTTCTATGTTAAATATTATTTAAATTAAAAGTTCGTTGGTCAAAATAATTATTAAACTTTGAGTTATTGTCATTCAACTGAATAAAATTATAATCCGACTCAGCCTACCTTTACTTGGTCAATAGCCTTGCTTGATCGAAGTTTCCAATACTTGCAAAAACTTGAGTGAATAAGTTCCTTATAGGCAGACGTGCTCCATCGTGGGTCGCATCATTCCTTACCACCAGACGAGATAGGGGCCAAACGTCGGCCCAACAATTATAAAAAAAAATCTCGTAGAAGCAGCCATACATTCATAGGCCTTAGTACGAGTTTGATGTACGTAAAACAAACTCATACTAAGGTCTCAGATCAGATAAGAACCTACTGACATGAAGTCTACAACAAAGATCCAAAAGAGTCAATATAGACACAATTAAAGAACAATAGGTTGCGGTCACTGGTGACCGCTTGGTGTTTGACAGTTTAAATAATAGGGTACTTTTTATCCCGGAAAAAATGTATATTATCGAGGGAAAACAAAATTATTGGTATATATGGCGCTGTGTGTATTGGTATATGTCACATAGGCTACTTTTTATAATTTTGTGACGCGAGCGAAGCCGCGGGTAAAAGCTAGTATATGAATAAATTGTAACATAGGTATAATGGTATACTAAATGTATTATGTACTCTTAATACAGTATAACATTACATGACAAATTTCCATATGGAAATCTGACTGAAACCTTTGGCTTTATATGCTCTCTGAGGCATGTCAAAGCGACTATGAACCAATTGTATTTAAGTAAGGGGTTCTGTACTGCTAAAAATATTTTGGATTTTTCGTTATGTTTTATTGTTATATTTTCAGTTTTCGATCAGATGGATGGACAGTGAACAATGAATTTATTGTTAGGTATTTGTGAGTTGTCACTTGGATAAGAACTTAAAACATATCATAAAAATAATATATCCCATCTATTTAATTTAGAGATAAAAAGGCTGCAGTTGTAGCCAAATGCCATTTAGCGCTTGTCTACATGTGGAATAGTAAACCAAAATAAATGGAATTTCAGTGTCATCCCCATACATTTCGATTTCTATTCTCTCTGTAAACAAACCCTAAAGTGGCGTTTGGCTAAAAGCACATGTTACATTCAATATTATTTTCAAGTGGGGTGTTTTTACATTAAATGTATGTCGAAGATCACGTAGGGTCTCTCGAAATATAAGTATAATTGCTTCTGCACGTGGCTTCACTCACGTTCCCGTGAAATAAAAGTTGAATATGTATTATACTAGACCATAAGCTATTCTTAACCCTTTGAGTACCGTCATTAAAGACACAATTAAGGAACAATAGGTTGCGGTCACCGGTGTCTTTGCGGTGTTTGACAGTTTAATCCAAATATCAACCCGATCCCTTCAGCCGTTTCCACGTAAGTGGGTAACAAGCATACACACAAACACGCAATTTCACAAACTTCCGCATATATAATATTAGTAAGATTTGACCTTCAAACACGGATCTCTAAAAAGTGAAAATAAAATGCTACACATAATTACATAGGGACGGTACATATAAAATGTTTGGAAGGCAATCCTGTACAAAGGGCCGGTTCACAACAATGAGCTACGTTTCTATGCATCCGTTGTCGCGGATGAAGAGAGCGCAAAATTTGATGTGAGATGTTCCTGCGTGCGTAGCGACGAGACGTGTGCCCTGGTTTCTGGGAGCTCCACAAACATGTGTATTTGTATTCTACTAGTCTATCGTGATATTTAATCCGAGAAACCCTGTTATTGGTTTTCTCTGGTGGCCTTGACCGAATCAAAAGGCTAATATGTAAAATAGTTTACAAGTCCAAAATTCAAAGGTTAGCTTTAGTTATTTTGATATTAGCGATTGTGTACTATTATAATTGTGTGGCATTAGTACTATTACAATCTCTATTGGTTTCTGAGAGTTTGATGGCTGAGAAACTAAGCCAAAGTTAGGGTCTTAATAGTTCTATTATTGATATGACTTGGTAATAAAATATCGACAAGACTACATAAATAGTGAAAGGTCTGCACAGACGAAGCAAAGATTATTTATAAGTTACTACATTTATGCAATTATCAGAAAATAGTTTCACCTTTCTTGAATTTGTTTCCCTTCATTTTATAAATGGGTGTGATTGAATTGGATTAGTCTATATGCGTCGAAATGTGCGTGTATGGACCCAGTTTCGTCGTTACCATAAGGACACTAGGGGCCCGTGCCCTGGGCCCCCATCCGCAGGGGGCCCCGAAGGACCGAAAATTTTTACAACAGACACACGCCCGCTACAGGATGTGCGGCAACCGGTTTCCTGCAACGTGTAGCGGGTTCGATTCCCGTACGGAGCAAATCTTTGTGTGATACACAAATTTTCTGGTTTCTGGTTTGGGTGTCATGTGTATGTGAACTTGTATATTTGTAAATGCACCAATGATACAGGAGAAAACCCTAGCGCGATGCAACGTTAAAAAAAGAAACGTTTCGATAGGGCCCCGATTTATTGTGTGCCCAACGCGTAGTCTAAGACGGCCCTGGATGTACGTACACTCTTGTTATCTTCTATCTCTAAAACGCTGATAAATGAATTATATTGACAATCCAAATTCATATTTAGGAGCCCAAAATACTTGATTTAACTCGTCGAGTACCAGTTTTGTAGACACAATTATAGAACAATAGGTTGCGGTCACCGGTGACCGCTTGGTATTTGACAGTTTAAAATAGAAAAATTTATTGACACTGATATGATATTTTGCAGGTTCATCCAATGGCCTACGGATGTACTTGCTTCACACCCATAAGCTACCTCATCGTCACAATATGGATCCTAGTGGCTTTGTTCTTCGCTGCTAGCGTCGCTTTGTTCAGTGGAATAGTAAATGTAAGACAAAAAATGTATAAAACTGCACTGCATTTTTAATTTTCAATTTTTCTTCTTCATTACATTTACATTCACCACTGTGAAAATTTTGATATGCTTACCTATCAAATTTAAGTCTGTCATTATACGTGAGGACTTGTAATTGGCTTTCAGTAGTTTATGTTGGCTTCTATTTTTATGTAGTTTTAGCTGTAAGTCCTCCAGGGTGTAATAAATAAATAAATTAATTAATTAATCTGCTTTTGTGGATAGACAAATATTTTTGAAAATAATGTAGTCAATGGAAGAGTTCTTCAGAAAAATGTTTAGTGTTTGCTTAACAGGCATGTTACAGATTGGAATTTAAGAGATGCGGTTTTATCAGCAATGCAATGCCTTCTAGTCTCTATCCAAATGTGTAGTCCCTTAGTCAACCACTACGATATCCACAGACGAGTAGGTAGGTAAATGTAAGTAAGAAAGATAGAAAAAGCATTTATTCGACAGTAGGCGCACACAAATACAAAGATTACTAAAAATATATATATAACTAGCGGACCCGACAGACATTGTCCTGCATATAATATAATAATAATAATATAATAATAGATATAGATAAATAACATAGATACGACTGCAACGCCATCTGCCGGGTTGATTTGTGAATCTAAACCATACAGGGCGCCACTCAAACGCATACAGAAAAATCATTTAAATCCATCAAGCCGTTTAGGAGGAGTTCAATGACATACACACGTACAGCAGAATTATATATATAAAGATAAAGAAAAAAAATAATGAATTTAAAATAGTAAAGACAAAAACAAAGATACAACAAAGTATAACAAAATAGTGACAATACAATAATACAACATAAATTATATATTAACAAAACGAAGATGAAAACAATGTTTAATTGTGCGTGCCTATGCCAAAAGGGCCTCCATCCAATATCATCTGCTCTGTCGTCAGCAAACGAGTTATGTGGATGAGAAACACTAAAATTGCTTTGTTTATCCACAGGACGATGCCCTGCTTTGCACTATATGGATTTGGTACACATTGATATTCGTAGTGATTATGCTGATGCTGATGACATTGCTGGCTCTGCTGTTCACATCTAGGAGACAGAGGAGTAGAGTCTTTGTTGCGATCTTGGGGATGCTTTGGTATGTCTGTAAGTATCTTTAAGATTTAACTATTTCTGGTAGCTTAAAAATTCGCTTAAATTTTTATGTATTGCTTGTTGATACGTTTCTTCTTCATTGGCCAAGTCGTCGCAAGACCGACTGCCGGGCAAGGGGTCTCGGGTTTTATTCCCGGGTCGGGCAGGTACTACTGGGTTTTTAAAAAAATCTCAGTAGTAGCACGGAGTCTGAAAATGTACCCGGTATATGGCGATAAGCTCACACCCTATTACATGGGACTCATAACATAAAAGGCGTAAAGTTATGTATGTATTTATGTATTTATGTACCTCTAGTATGGATAGTTTTCAGAAAATATTGACTTTATCTCGTTCGACCTTTTCATTTTGCTGTTTCCATCCTATGATGACATATTTATGACATAATATCTATGATAATTGAATAATGTCGTAAAAGAATACTTAATTCAAATTTTGGGTTAGTTCGAGTCAGAATATTTTATTTAGATCAACTAAAATGCACTACTTCTTAGTCGAGTTTCAGCGCCTAGGTATTATGTATTAAATAATAACTCAATTTTCATTTTCAGTGACAATCTATTTCATATTAGTAGTGAACAGTCATCGCAAAGCTCTCAGTAAAGCAGAAACAGAAAGCGCAACTAAAGCGCCACCAGCAGGAGGACCAGTAGAATCAGGGAACGAACCAACATCAGACGCACCATCAGGAGACGCATCACCAACAGACTCGCCAACAGGAGACGCAACAACAGCTGATGCATCAGCACCAGACGCACCATCATCAGACGCAACACCATCAGACGCACCATCATCAGATGCGTCATCGGATGACCCACCATCAAAAGAGCCACCATCAGATGAGCCACCACCGGATGAGCCACCACCGGATAATTCACCAGATTCGCGAAAGGCGCTACGCAAGGCTAGTGTAATACCAAAATAAATAGTTTTATTTAATAATGTTCAGACACGTTCTCATTTACCCTTCGTACCGGCTTCACAGAGTGGTCATGGGAAAGCGGCCCTAGCTCGGTTAACAACAGCGACTGCAGCTAAACCAATGTTGCAATGTACAATGGTCCCAACAATTCGCCACAAAAAGGGGCAACGTTTGCATCAGTATAAGAAAAAGGAAACCATACGAAGTAATGACGCTTATACAACGTTCCACCAAGGATAATATCAAGGTTTAATAGCGGGTTTCGTTATTCGCGTATCTATTTATATTTTTTATTTATTTATTTGCTGGACATGTGGCGCATAATGTGATCGTACTGTAATGTTATAATAAATTTGGTCTTATTTTTGTTTTTGTTTTGTTCAGAATTTATGTCGTTTGTGATGATGAGATGATGATGAGATGATGAAGGTTAGTTAAGAATAGTTTCTTTAGGTATTTATTAGACCAGTGACTCGCCACTATTTAGCAGGTTAATTCTCAAACTTACTGACATCACCAACATGAAATTTGTTGTTTACAGTCGTCGCTTGTCCTGATGCTATATCTGATTTTCAGAAGAGTATGTCCTAATTTTACTTCTCCTGACAAACACAAATAACACTTTTAATATACCCAGATAAGTCGCGGAGAACCTAACGGGTTATCGGGGCTCCGGCTCGACGTGCAGGATAAGGAACGGGGTGGTTTTTAGTCAGTAAGAGTCTGACACTCCCTCCCGCCTCACCCAGGCGGGAGAAGTCGTTCGATGATTTCCACCCTTAAAAAAGTATACCTACCTAGATAAAGGTATGTTTTTTAATAACTATCGTGAAACATACTAAATTAACTAAAAATCGCGGGTTTCTCACGGGGGTAGGTACACTGAGAAAAGCTCTACTAGTTTCGAACCACAGAGGGGTTCTTCCTCATGAGCAGCGTGCGCAATCGCGGCAATGTTGCGCAGCCTTCTCGTGTCACGTGAGTGACTTGCGATTTTTAGTTAATTTAGATAAAAGTAATTGTAAAAACTTTACGTACCATTCAATCATATTAAATATTGAAATTACAATAAATTATAACTAAATAATAATACATTAAGAACTTTGCAGAAAACATCTTCTGTTCTGGCACATTTGTCTTTTGCTCTTTTAGCTTCGTTTTTCGTACACTTTCTATTCCGCAACTGTAGACGTAACTGGGGTCACAATTGTTCTTTTTCGAATTGAAAGCCAGTAGCCGTATGCGACCAATATGAAATAGGCCATAATTACTGAAACAAAAGTTAAAGTTCATTATTATAGAGGTAGTACTTTCCAATTGGTCATCTATATACAGATAAATAAAATTAGAGTATCTGATTGTAACAATAAAATAACCACTTTTTATTACATGCATATCCATAAATGAAGCACATACCAAAATAATATTTTTTTTATTTTTTGTCTGTTTGAACTGGCTAATCTCTGGAATGGTTTTACCGATTTTGAAGGGACTTTTATTGGCAGTTAGCAGATGTACTAAGGAGTAACACAGGCTTTTATTTTAAAAAATTGAAACAAAAAAATATTATGTCCAAAAATTCATATGCGGCTGAAGCTTTTTATTCAAACTCAAACTCAAAAGCATTTATTCCAATTAAACCATAATTTGGTACTATTGAAACGTCAACAAATATGAGATATATAATAGTCTGTCAGTCTGTCCGTCAGTGAAGCTAGGCACTCGTTCCAAAATGTCGATTCGAGTGGAGAAGAACGAGCAAGAAACTCCATACGTTACTCTTTTAAAAAAAGTCTTTCGTTAAATTAATTCTGTAGCGTATAGTGATGCAGAATAGAAACTTATAGAACTTTAGTCCTTCCTACTCCTATAGGTCTCGTTAAAATCGACTAAGGGACTACTTATTTAACAGTAACCGGGCAGCATCGTTCATTGATAAACCTAATACTTTTAAATTACAATCTCTAATCCGCTATTACGGCAAACCTCTCTTTTGTGTTAGATAAAACACCAATTTCTTAATTTAAAAATGCAAAATTACTTAAAGATAATTCTTTTATAATACTTTATATAATACTTTATAAAAGAATTATCTATAAATAATTTTGCATTACTCATACATTAGTAAAGAGAAGCATAGACAAAAAAAAAAGAAACGTCATCGCCTGGCGGGAAAATGTAATCTGTGGTTCGAAAAATGAAAAAGTCAAGATGGCGGGAACTCGGAAGTTATTGAGAGGCGTATTTGGTGTTTAGGGAATTTTAATCTATTTGAAAGTCAATTTGCCTATTTATGTGTTGTTGTTATTATTTTTCTTTCCAATTAATAGTTATGGTTTAGATTTCGTAATTTGATTTCGATGTTAACAATACTTATAAGGTGCATTGTAATGATAGTACTTTTTACTTTTCCGGCCTTTTGAGTTTCTAAAATCCAATGTGTTTTAAAACCAATAAGTTTCTAATATCAAAGACTAAGGTGAACTCTATGACAGTTTTTAAGTTTTCTAATAGTACTTTACCAAGGTTTGGTAAGTAAAACGCGAGTGAGGTTTGGAACAGAATGATTTATTTATTAAAACGTCTACGCGTTTTATTTATACATTTGGGGTAAACATTAATTTTACTCAAAATATGACGGACCAATCATAAACGACTAGTAGTTCACGGGCCTGCCGCGCTCAAGGCGTGTCGCTGCTGTCGTCGAGGCGTCTGGTACAGTACTTTTAAAAAAACAGAGTCCCCACATTTTTGAACGTAATTAAGTAATATACTAAAACCTAAATATAACAAACACTGCTCTGAATCCGCTTCAAAATCGGTGAAGCCAATCGAGAGGTAATCACGCAAAAACATATAAATATAAGCATAATTCTCGGTTAAAAGTACTCAAAATCTAATGGATTTATGGAATAGGAAATCTTTGTGTGATCGACAAACTGTTGTTCCGAGTATTGATGTTATGTGTATGTGAACTTGTATGTTTTGTAAATGCACCTACGACACAGGAAAAAATCCTAGCGTAGGAAAACGTTTTTTTTTTAAAGATAAAATAGATAGATTATAAAGTAAAGTCTTTTAGTAACCCCCAAAAAAAGATATTTCTTTTAGTACATAACATAAAATCACGCCTTGTATTCCCAAAGGGGTTGGCAGAGGTGCACATTATGCCACTATACAATATAATACCCACTTTTCACTATTTATGTTATGAGTCCGATGTAGCAGGAGGTGATCCTATTGCCATATACCGGGCACAATTCCAGACTTCGTGCTACTACTGAGAATTGTTTAAAAAACCCAGTAATACTTTGCCCGACCCGGGAATCGAACCCAAAACCCGTTGCCCGGCAGCCGCACTTGCGACCACTTGTTCAACAAGGCAGTCATATAAACAATTATTCTTTTAATATTTCCATGTGGGTCACAATGTTTATTACCAAGAAATGAAAGTAGATAAAACTGAATGGCATAATCTGAAGGTGTGACTTATAAAGGTATTTTTCTATAAATATTTTTAGCTACAAATCGTTGCTACCTATATCTTTTTATACCTTTCAAAATAATCAGTGAAGGGAAAGCGGGTGTGCTAGGGAATGAGTATACAGAGGTATATATATACGTACACTTGAACCAAAGAAACGGTGCCACTAGCGATTTTTCCATTTTGTAAATATCATTAATTGTTCATGAGTGCGGACTAATTCGCGGGTCGGGCAAAGTAATACTGGGTTTTAAAAAAATCTCAGTAGTAGCACGGAGTTCGGAATTGTGACTGGTATATGGCAATAGGTTCACCCCCTATTACATGCGATACGCAAAATAAATAGTGAAAAGTGGGTATTGCATTGTACAGTGGTATAATGTAATGCACCTCTGCCTACCTCTTCGGGGGTAAAAGACGTAATGTTATGTGTTCATTCATTGTTAGGGAATTTTATACAAATTTTGTGACGATGTCAATCCCATCATGCTTTTACATAACAAGTATTTTTATAACTTTAATAGTGAGATTTTTACTATACCTTAGGCTTACAAATTAATTAGTTATTACTGTGATATTTTACAAAACAACTTAGTCTACTTATCTATCCAATATAAACGAATATATAATTTTAGCAGTTTCAGATGTAGGCGTAGCTAAAATACAATTAATCATTCTAACATCCATCGCTGACAGTTTCCTGGAGTTGGGAAGTGCATTTCTTTTATTTGCATATTCCACCGGACACATTCCACCCACACATACTGCACGTAATTTTTTTCCTTTTAGTAAACCCTCGATAACCTTGGAAAGAAATATTCATTTACACCAAAATGCTCTGATTTTAAAGGTAATATTTATACCTTTTATACGGCACTAGCTACTTCCGCGCAGTTTCACCCGCTCTGCTCGGCTTCTTTTGGTCGTATCTTAATGTTTTATAGCCTATAGCTTTCCTCAATAAATTCACTATCCAACACAAAAAGAATTATTCAAATCGTACCTGTAGTTCCTGAGATTAAGGCGTTCAAACAAACACTCTTCAGCTTTATATTAATAGTGTAAGAGTATAAAATAAGTTACCAATTAATAATTAATAACAATACTTGTACCTATCAGAAAGTATTTATCACGAAAAGAAAAAGAAAAAAGGCCAGGGGCTCCATTTCTTGCTCCCAAGTGTATTAAATTTATGAATGTACATTATTATGTTTTTTGATATACGATGATATTCTCATCTTTTGATTTCTGAATTAGATTTATTTTTACTAGCTCTTAGGTGAAGTAGGTATAAGTAGAAATCACCTTTATTAACCTCTCGCGTGTTTCTCGTACACACGGGTGTACAAGAGAGTTGAGTGCCCATCGCGCAATTGTACACACGGGTCTACGAGAAACGCGCACCGATTGGATATTTTTTCTGTGACGTGTATTTTCAAGTTTGCAACTCGTTCTTTGTTTGATTGAACAGAATAGTTAATTCGCTTTTCTATTAAAATATTTATCCGTGTGTACGAGAACGCGCGTTTACCCGTGTGTATGAGAAGCGCGCGAGAGGTTAAAAGTACCTAAATGACAGGCTTTTTTAAAAAACGTTGCCCCAAACTAGGATTTTCGTGACAATCGCCATGTGGCCTCTAGCATTGCTTGAAACTAGTCGAGTTACTCCTCAAACAGTTACGTGAGTAAACCGAAAACTATGATTAATCACGAAAATGTTATTTTAGAGATTGAACACTAAATATATCATATTTACCCTAAAAAATACCGGTAGCGAATACTTCTAAGAAATAAACATGGTATTTTGCTTAAACCTTACTGTACTAAAAATAACAAATCAGCTTTCAGTTTCAAACCATTCCAGGAACAACCTTTCTGAAACGTCCATCTGGATTATTCACGACAGTGATTCTTGCTTTCAGAAGAAAGGCTTACATTTAAGATTGAAGATTAAAGCGTTTAACACTTAAATGCTGCAAACATCATGGCCTTTTGTTATCAAAACTACAAGCAAAAAAGGTAAGAAAAATACAGTGATTATAAAACAGAATCGATATTTTATAACACACGAAAATAAACTTAGAGTGCAAAAATCAACTCGATCATGATACATTCGCGTTCCTTGGTTTAATAATAAAACTGATACGGAGATGAGAAATGCATTACTTCTATCACCGTCGTCATCATCAACAGCCTATAAGTTGCTATTGCTCTTCTCGCACGCAAAAGGTTTGAGCATTAACTCGTCGAGTACCGGTTTTGTAGACACAATTATAGAACAATAGGTTGCGGTCACCGGTGACCGCTTGGTGTTTGACAGTTTAATCACTACACTTGCTCAATGCGGGTTGGTGATTTCAAACCCTTAATTAAATTATAAGGCCAGGTTTCCTCCCTATGTTTTCCTTCACCATTTGTGAATGGAATCTAAATAATCTTAGAAAGTAAATATAATTCGGAATAAGTTACATTGGTACTTTGCTGTTGGTAGGTTTCGAATCCGCGCCCTCATGCGTGAGACGCGGGCGTCTTAAATCTCTGGACCACCACGACATTATCACATCACATTTATATAGATAAATAAAATTGGAGTTTCTGTTTGTTATATTGAAATAAACGCTTATTACTTCACGCATATGAAAATATACCATAAATAACACTTTTTGTCTGTCTGTCTGTTTGTACTGCCTTATCTCTGAAATGGCTGGACTGATAACGGAAATTTTTATTGGCCGATAGCTGATGTACTGAGCAGTAACATAGGCTACTTTTATTTTAGAAAACTACGGACGAAATTACGGGTTGAGCTAGTCTATCATAATATTGATATTTTATATGAGTACTTTGGAACAGTTTGTTTTGAAGTCGGTGAAGCGCAAGGATTCAGTCGCTTTGCCGATGTTTCGGCTTCTTCCTCAATGTCAGTTGCAGATTTAATAGCCCTTAGTCATGTTATGTAACGGCCGGTCGGAAATTGCGATTAGACAAAGTTAAAAGGTTTTGTGTATACACGGCCACACATCAATCTATACAAAACCAGTTTATCCTGGTGTCGCGTCGCATCATCTTTCCGCACATTTAACGTTCAGTTTATACTGGGTATGTAAAGCTCGATGTGTAGCCGTGTGTACATTGACAGTGCACAGAAGTTAGAGATTTCTCTGTTTAATATACACTTGGGAGCAAAGAAGCGGAGGCACTAGCGTTGTAGTATTTTATTAATTGATAATGTGTGTTGTGTAAAAGGCAATTTAAAATGAGAGTATTTTGTAGTTAAAGGATGTTTTTACGTCAAAGAGGTTTCGATAAAATGAAATAAAAAAGACGCAAGGGCTCCCAATACTACATTTGATTACTTTATTTTGGTTTTCGAAAGTCTAATCACATACAGTTTTATTTTTAAGGGGGGAAAATCATCGAATGACTGCTCCCGCCTGGGTGAGGCGGGAGGGAGTGTCAGACTCTTACTGACTAAAAACCACCCCGTTCCTTCTCCTGCACGTCGAGCCGGAGCTCCGGTAACCCGTTAGGTTCTCCGCAACAATCACATACAGTATAAGGAACCATTTGTTTAAGAAGATATGATTACTAATCATTAGTTGTGGTATTGTAAAATTGTTCGATATTTTGTACTTAATACTTCAGCACGTAGACATATGTATAACTAGAAAAATGCTATCTTAAATATTAAGATAGCATTTTTCTGGACATATGTCCATCCTATCAAAAGCCTTTGTCACATCATATGACCAAATCCTAAATCTTTAACGAGAAGTTCAACAATGTTCCGATTACAGAGACTGTTAATTGCTGAAGCTACAGATTAAGGCCAACACGTTAGATTGGAGCCTTATGGAAATTTGAACTGTGATCAATTATTACACTGAGTTAACACAGAATACTTGGATGTAGGTATAGATCAATTTTAAGCCCTGTGCTGGAAGGAATATGATCTAAATTCGTGTACTGGTGGTAACAGTTTAGGTTTCAGGAAACATTTGCACCGTCTACTGCGATGCACAACTTTATTGGAATAGTTTAAAGTTTGTTTTGTATTATCTAGATTTCAAACAAAGAAAACTAATACTCTAGATCTAACATGCTTTGACTACAAAGAATGTGTGATATTTGGCACAAAATAAATTATATACATCTACAAACATCTATACTAATTATTAGAATCCTACATTATCTGTGATGAACATAGGCTATATTTAAAAAGAGAAAAAAAAGAAAACCAATTGAAAACTTCGCCGCTGTAGAAAATACCGCGGAAATTCAAATTCTGCCAGAAGTTATTATTCTACGTGGAAAACAAAAATAGCGTACACACATACATACATACATACATTTCTTAGAATCTCCTTTTTGAAGTCGGTTAAAAATGTCGTTACTCACTGTAAGCTATTATGGCTCCAGCGAGGGCGACCATCCAGCCGAGGCTGGTGTCAGTGATGTACATACATAGCCAGAGGCGTGCACAGAGATTTGAAGTAGGGTAGGCAGAAGGTATCACATGATTAAAAAAAATTTGGTCTACATTAATCTCGGAAAATAAAACTCCCGAAACATCATAATTTTGAGTAGGTAATTATTAGTAGCTAATTTGTATAAACAAATTAGGTACATAATTATTTTCAAACTATCCGTGTATAAAGTTGATCAACATAGATACCTAGGTATCTATTTTACAAATCTATTAACTAGGTACCTACTTTGGAGCGGCGAAGTACAAATGGTTACACATCAAGCTATGCAACACCAGTATAAACTGACCGTTAAATGCATAGAAAAATCGTACAAAGCGAGATCAAGATGACTGGATTATAAAAACAATAATGAAATTGGTACACAACCAGTGCTAACAAACTATACCTATAATCGCAAATCGTAGTTTATTAAAAGAAATAATAAAATTATTACCTTTTTTGAGTTACGCCTAGCCCGGACATACGACACACGCAAAATCGCCTTTGGAAATATTTTCGTTTCTTCTTCGAACGACAATAAGGACAACGCACTCATATTTAATTTATTGAACAACACAAATCACCAGCACAGAGCTCACAGCTATAATTTTACATAATTTTCGGTAAATTAACAGTTCATTTAAATTATAATTCATTACATTACAATTTATTCACTTGCACATAAAAACATAACCAAAACAAAATGGCCAAAAAAAACGTAAACAATAAGTTGACCAAAATTAATATATCTATTTTCAATCAACAAACGCTACGTTTTGTTGACTTCTTAAATTAGTCGGATAACGAAGAAGCAGTGCTTTTGCAGTTGTATAGAAATTACCAACCTAACAAAAAAAAAATCCAACATCAGCACGAGAAAACAAGCAAATTGTACCGGCTACGCATTAGTACATGCTTCCGCCACCATCACACAATAGCGAGGTGGCGGCGCCACTGGCGCAATGCTCCAATATCGAAGAAAGTAGAAAGTGGTCGTAGTACTTCAATATTTTTTCGATAGATGGCGTAAGTTACCAGTTTTCCAAATTAAGTATCAATAAAATTACGAAATCTCTGTATGATGTTAGTGAATATTCATGTCGTGTTTATGAGTGACACTATGTATTTGACTATGTAGGTTTACCATGATTTTGTAGGGTATGCAGTGCTTATTTGCATGTATGGTGTGCACGCCACTGTACATAGCAGCACAAACACCAGCACCAGTGACTGGCCCCACCACAACCCAGTCACCACTACCCAGCTTAGTACCACTGATGATTTACGCTGAAATAACATTTATAATTATTTTATTGATAACAATATAAAACTACATACTTCTAGATAGGTGATCGATGTATTTTCTTTTTAACCAGATTCATCTATTTATCTATATCTGTTTAGGTAAGCGACTCGTAAATCAAACGACGAACAATATTATGATACTGTTTATTGTGTCCACTATGACTGTCGCGTAACGAGTGGCACTCCTCGCTGACGCGCATAACATTATGTACATATCATGTCCCTACATCTGTAAGAGACACTTGTAAGTAAAATAAGAAATAAAATTTTGAGTGATAAGACCACCCAATGATACTTTACATGTGTAGGTAAAAATGATCCTAATGTCATAATTTGCCCTGAAGATAAATTTATGCTTTTTGTCGTAAGCCACAAAAATAATCTTTCAAAACATCATAGGCCTATAAAAATAAGGCAAGCTTTAAAAGTCATGTTCATAATTATTACTTTATATTGCTGAAAGAATGTAAGTAATAAAGACAAATAACAAAGAAAAGCACTAGGCACTTACATTCCTAACTCCCCAAATAAACCAGAGATTGACGAAGAACATGAATAAGCAGTAGATGGCAGCGTTGATACTAAAGCTGTACGCATTGTGCATCACCAGAGAAGAGCATCCTTTACACTCCTTGTAGTACAGGATCTCTATCGCAATGCTAATGACACAGATTACGCTAATGATCTGGAAGAAATAAGAAGTCATTTTCAGGGATGCGACTTTTTTATTATAGTATTTAGCCCTTTGATTGACTGGTTAATTAGAATTGGCTAATCAGTGCCTTTAGCCAAACGCCACTTTAGCGCTTGTCTACAGAGAGAGTAGAAAGACTAAATGTATGGGGATGACACATAACAAGTGTTAAAATTTAAGCACCAAACGCTATAAATGTGTCGTTTGCGTGAATGTAAAATATACTCGTCTCGAGACAGCCCGGAGGTTTAAGATGCCTGCTTCTCATGTTCCAAGGTGCAGGTTCGAAACCTACCAACCGCAAGTACCAGTGTAACATTTTCGAGTTATATGTACTTTAAAAGATTATTTAGTCACCACTGATAAGCGGACTGCCTCGTTTGCCGAGTGGTCGCAAGTGCGACTCCCGGGTAAGGAGTCTCGGGTTCGATTCCAGGGTAAGGCAAAGTATTACGGGGTTTTTAAAAATCACAGTAGTAGCACGGAGTCTGGAATTGTATCCGGTATATGGCAATAGGCTCACCCCTATTACATGGGACTAATAACATAAATAGTGAAAAGTGGGTGTTACTTCTCTGTGCACCTCTGCCTACCCTTTCGGGGATGTCGCGGAGAACCTAACGGGTAACCGGGGCTCCGGCTCGACGTGTAGGAGAAGGAACGGGGTCACAGCGAAAAAGTTTAAAATCGCCAACGCGCATTGAGAAAGCGTGGTAATTAATGCTAAAATCATCGAATGACTGCCCCCGCCTGGGTGAGGCGGGAGGGAGTGTCAGACTCTTACTGACTAAAAACCACCCCGTTCCTTCTCCTGCACGTCGAGCCGGAGCCCCGGTTACCCGTTAGGTTCTCCGCGACTCCGAATCGGCATCGGCCCTATTGGGCCCCATCTGTGGTGGTCTGATGGCTCTTTGAGGCGCGCGCGGAACGCGACGCGCCGGCTTATAGGCCTTAGATGAAAATATATTCGCACTAGACCCTCTGCCTCAGATAAATTAGAACAATAACAACTTTCAGATATTCTTATCGCCGCGACCGCGAACGCTGCTCATAAGGAAGAACCCCTCTTCGAACTACGTCTGGTTCGAACCTACTAGAGCTTTTCTCGGTTTATTCACGTGAGTAACACGCGATTTTTAGTTAATGTAGAATATACATACATATACAATGTAGATAAGGACTAATTCAAAAGCCCAATTTCCGCCAGAAGACATTATTTTACGCGGGCGAAGTCGCGGGTAACAGCTAGTAGCCTATAAAATCACTACGACTACTAATGACAGATTAAGCTAAAAACCTTTGCCTATATTTTACCAAGTATTTAAAATTAGAATTCGAGTTAAGGAGTCTTCTGATTTAACTGATAATAAGGTTAAAAACGGTCACATATCAGTAACTGTAAGTACTTGAAAATATTATAAGAATCGAATAACAACTTACCAATGTTATAATTCCAACAACCAATGAACCTTTCTGCAATGTGAATTTTCCCAAAAACGACTTGGGAGCTAGTTTTTGGATGAACATTATTTTATTCAATAATTTTATATTTTCCTCATAAGATGCATGTAAAATGTCTAAAATATTAAACAACCATTTCGCAACCACCCTGATTTGACAGGCGTGATGTACTTTTCATCAATGAGTTTTTGTCTCGTTGGTTTAGTGAAAACCAGATCATCATCATTATCAACAGTCTACAAATACCCACTGCTGAGCAAAGCCTCGTCTCACATGGATAACGTTTGAGCATTAATAACCCCGCTTGCTCAATGCGGGTTGACGATTTCAAACTTATAATTAGAAATTATAAAGCACAGGATCTTCCACGATGTCTTCCTTACCGTCAGTTCCATGATCACTTACAACCAGGCTGTCTGCTGCCTGCATTTTATCCCCTATATCATAATAAAGAAGGATATACAAGTCAAAAGTTTTCTAGTTACACCAGAAAATGAAATGTCTGAACGAATCAACCGAGACAGGTTCAGAATATAAAGTGAGACACAACTCGTTTCATGTTGTACTACTGGAGAATATTTTTAAATATAAATAACATCGTATTTTCATACAATAAAGTGCATAAAGGTGTACTTAATGACAAAGACTGTCTTGTTGATAAAAAACCACAGACGTGACTGTCGAGGAGGTGGTTTTGTCTTCGATTCTTGGGTTGGACATATAAGTGTTATGATTGCTTCGATTTATTCAAAAACATTTAATTAAAACTAAGGAAATTAAGTTTATATTTATATTGTAATTCTTTCAAAATAGTCAAATAATGTGATTTTTAAGTAATTGTAATTTTACATTTGAAATCTATGAAATTGTGGATGTGACATAACGCCATCATTACTGGGTGGAGTGGGAACAGAAATATATACATGTATACTATATCTTTGTTAGTATTAAGTCACTATTTAGTCAATATTAAGTCGTTGTTCGGACGCGAGGGAGTGCAGTAGAATATTGATTAAGTACCGATATTAACTAATGGTGAAATTGTAATTGTGATTGAGGTTTGTTAAGTTGAATAATACAAATCTAGAAGAAATAAATTGGGATTTGGAAGAGTAGGTGTTTTTCATTTCATAATTTTATGGCCTTTAAGGTTTATGCATATTTTCCAAGATTCATTAGTAATATAGAAACTGTACTGTAATAAATAATGATAGTAGTTAAACCCCAATATTTTACAATTGTTTCTATCCATGCCATGGTTTGTTAAAACCTCAAGGTCATTAGTCAAAATTACCTTTATGTTAATTTCCGTAATTTAATTCTCTGAAGCTCTTATTTCAAGCAATTTGTATTCCATAATCAATTTTTAATATAACTTACTTGTTTATATTTACCGATAGCTGTTTTAATAATCTAAATTAAACAAAATCATCCATTAATGAAAAATTGGATGTAAATATTTTTTAATAAAGTAACTTCTGGTAATGTTACCTACATATTTTTTTAATACGAAATTATATTTTTTCCTAGAAAGCTTATGTGAGTTAAATATTTATAATTATTATTCACAGAAAGGAAAATAATTAAGTAGTTAGTTGGTAGGTGATAATTTCGTACCCAAAGGGACGGCCCTAGGAGCCGGGGTCGAAATAAGAGAAGATGGGAGAATGACTTTAAGACTTCTCTGGATAAGAGTGGCAGCTGATAGAAAGCAATGGAAATAGTTGGAGGAGGCCTTTGCCGTAAGACACACCGAGCTGAGAGACTTATTATAACACTGGGTTTATTTCGCAATTCGTTTTCAATTTGTGACTGTTTAAATGTCAAAACGTTCGGAAGTAAAGACTTTTTTTAATAAATTTATTTAGAAGAATTTTACAAAGGAGTGGCCTTAAATCTAAACTTGAACGTTTGATGGCGAGAGACGCTTATTAAACAAACAATTTCTATTATAATAATTATGTAGGTGGGTACAATTTTATATTTATTATTATAGTTAGACTGCCTCGTTGGCCGAGTGGTCGCAAGTGCGACTGCCGGGCAAGGGGTCTCGGGTTCGATTCCCGGGTTGGGCAAAGTATTACTGGGTTTTTTCAAAGAATCTCAGTAATAGCACCGAGTCTGGAGTTGTGCCTGGTATATGGTAATAGGCTCACCCCCTATAACATGGGACCCATAACACAATTAGTGAAAAGTGGGTGTTACATTGTATTAAGTGCCGTAATGTATACCTCTGCCTACCTCTCCGGGGATAAAAGGCGTGATGTTATGTAATGTTATGTTATTATAGTTAGATAGGATAGAACAGAATATCTCGGTCACGTACTGAGACATGATAGATACTTCAACTTATAATAATGGGTAAGGTGGAAGGGAAGAGAAGCGCTAGGCGAAGGAAATATTTAAAATTTGTGTCTGCGCAATATTCGGGAGTGGACTGGCATCAGCTCTGTGGAACAACTTTTCTGCCTGGCCAATGATACGGACCAATTCAAAAAGTTGATGGCCAACCTTGAGGAATGAAGTGGCACCATCGGCAGAAGAAAAATTATTATAGTTTGTTTATAGATTCCATGGGCGGCGCTGATCGCTTACCATCAGGTGATACATCTGCTCGTTTGCCTCCTATTCCATAAAAAAATAGACATATTATTTTAGCTGATATTGATGGCATCGTAAGTAAATAAAAATAAAAATTATTTGATACCAAAATTCATAGCCAAGCCACCAGCCAAGTCTTCGTCCCGAAGTTTACGTGCCTCGTGATTGACGTATAAATGCCCACCCTACAATTAATTAATGGTTTTCACTACTCGAACATCGTTATTCCTATATTATTGCTTATAAGTTAAAGGTAAGTTATATTCTGGTTTTTTTTTATGGCATAATCCGGTAAACGAGTAGATGGATCACCTGATGGTAAGCAATCGGCGTCGCCCATGCCCATGGACACCTGGAACACCAGAGGCGTTACAAGTGCGTTACCGGCCTTTTGGGGATAAGTAGTTTGAGGATCGTTGGAGATTCAGGAATTGGGGATATTGGGGAAGGGGAGGGTAATTGGGGATCCGGTAACCTCACTCACATCACGAAACACAACGCAAGCGTTGCTTCACGTGGGTTTTCTGTGAGGCGTTTGATAATAATATATAGTTCCCTTTTAACATGTTTAATTGAGACATTGCTTATAAATAGACATATAGGATTGCTTTGTGTGGCATTTCTATTTATATTTTGTGGCTAATATTTGACAGTGTATTAATTTTGATGTTTCTGGCGACATTTTCAATTACGTAGGTATTTAATTATAGCTGCCTTGTTGGCCTACTGGTCGCAAGTGCGACTGCCGGCAAGGGGTTCGTTTCTCAGGTCGGGTAAACAGTTATATTGGGCTTTTTAGAAAATTCTCAGTAATATCACAGAATCTGGAAATGTGGCAATAGACTTACCCCCTATTACATGGGACTCATAACATAAATAGTTAAAAGATGAATGTTACATTTTACAGTGGCAATAAGTGCCGTAACGTGCACCTATGCCTACCCTTTCGAGGATAAAAGGCGTGAAGTTATGTGTTTTGTGTCTAAAACACTACTAACTCAAAATGAGGTAAAATAAAATCACATTTCTATTTCATACATAAATACTTGTCAATCACTTGATACATCGCACCGAAAATCCCCAAAAGTTCAAATAAAAGTAGTCTCTAAACATCGGTCTATAATGGAGTTCCTAGAAAGAGGTCACTGGTGACCGCTATTATTAAGACGCGGTATTTGTAAGACGTATTCCTAGTTTTCCATTTCGTTGTCCTTTTCAGCATTATTAAATATTTTTTATGGCATACGAGGAGATGGAGGCTCATGGACACCGGCAATACCGGAGGAGTCACAGGTGCGTTGAGAACTAACCCTTATTAGACATGTTTAAACAAAAACAATGCTTACAATGTGTACATATTCACCTCATTTATATTCTTTGCTTAGCTGACACCTTTACGGTTTAGTAGAGTCAGGAAGCCGATAAAGATTGGTCATATATTATAGTTTTAAGTGTGGGGTCGTTTGGTAAGATTTAATTGTTATCTATACTTGTAATTAATCGTAGGAAGTTTAAAACTGTACAACACAAAATTAAAAGAATACTTTGGGCATGATCTACAGTTGATATCGAAGCCAATATAGTTAGTTTTTTTGGTCTGTTTGTGTGTCCGGGCTAATCTCAAAAAGTACTGCAAGGATTTATTTTAAATATTAAATGAATATTATTACGTAGGGTCAACATATGGGCTACATATTATTACGCTATCACCTATGGAGAGAAGCTGTGGAAAACTATGAAAATTCACTATTCGCAGACATAGATAGTCAATGATACACATTATTACTAGTTAATTTTTGAAAGGGTAGACTGAGGTGTTATTTATGGTGTTATTTATTATGTAATGGTGCTCTTAATACAGCACTACCATTTTGGTACAGGCAAAAGCTTAAAACACCTTATATTATAACTTTCGTCATATTAATTAATAATTATGTTTTCATTTTGGCTTGCTCACATAACTTTTTAACGAGACACTCGACTAGTTTTTGGGTATACTAGAGGCTCATATCCATGAACAGCATTCTGCAACAGACGACGCGGCGACTGTTTTATTCTTAAATTCTGAATTCTCTTTCAGACTCAATACATGGATTTATGTTAGTATCTCTTGATTATCAGGAATATCCGAAAATCAAAGTAAATTTGTATGTAAAAAAATATTTCTATAGTAGGTAGTGTAAAAGCCACATCTCACAAGAAATTCGTTCCCTAGACATTCCAAGATTCATAAAGTTTTATCACGTCATGTACCTTAGTTAGGAGTTATCCTAATAAACAAATAGAACTTTCGCAGAATCCTTAGAAATCAGTCTTTAGGTAATAGACGATCTAGATTCTAGAATAGTTTCAATACAAGTTTTCTTCCCAACTTGAGGGAATCACATTTCTCGAAAGAAGCAAGTAGGTACCATTAAAATTATCTTACCTTGCCAAACGAAAAGTTTTTACACGAAATAGTTTTAGTTAAACATCAAGGTTCCAAATTCCATGAACTTATCAAGTACTTACGAAGCAATTTCGCCACTTTTGTTTTAAGTAATAAATTATGAACGCAAATAAGACTTGACAATCGTAAATCAAACTAATGCTAAAATTAAATAGAAGTTTCAAATATAAATAATTCAATGAATAGAACTGTGAAGTTATAACGAAGGGAAATTTAACAATATGGCCATTTTGGTGTTAAACTAATTTAAAAGTTTAGAAGTCTGACAGAAGATGCGTTAGAAGTAAAGGAGGTCATTAGTCAGGCATATATTACCTATACAAGGTGTTAAAGCCGTGTCATTTTCTAGGAGGTAACTCGGCAATCGATTCTGAGTCCGAATCAATAAAAAAAAAATGTAAGTAAATATTTTTCATTTTTCTGAAATTATGGGAATCCGTAAGTGCGAAGTACACGCTGCCGTCTTGTAAAAAGCTCTATAACGCGGCTTAACACACACAAACTCAAACACGTAATTGATATTATTCTTAATTCCATAAAACTCCAATAAGACACATTGCTGTCACTTATTCTGAAATACTGTCGAACTTAAACGATTTATTATAGCCGTATTTTTAACTATTGGCCCGAAACTTTCTCTTAGTTTGAACCTTTATGACTTCTGTGACATGCCCCCGAGAAATGACACGGTTTCAAAACTACCCCTTGTATAATACTACATACAACATAACATAACATAACATCACGCCTTTTATCCCGAAGGGGTAGGCAGAGGTGAACATTACGGCACTTAATGCCACTGTACAATG